GTCTCCCACGTTTTTGACGAGGTTTTGGCGACCTTGGATTTGGCTGTTTTTCGTCGTGCTGATTTCTGAAAGCCCGAGATTGGTTTGCACCTCGGTGCGGGGGCGATCCTGCTCAGTCTCCCAGAAGCGCTGGCTACCCGGGCCCGCATGCTGGTGGAGAACTTTACGAAACGCAGGATGGTGGGGTCTAGACAGGATCTGTCTCGACCACTCACTTTTGTTTAGTCCCCTGACGGACCTGGAAGAGTGTACGCGCTACACTGCACAGCCGTGTACGGTACACTGCGGACTTCGCAAGCGGTCAGAGATAATTAGCCAGCTTTGCGGATTAAGCCACCTGAAATTGGATCCAATACCAGGAAAAAACTGGTTTGGTTTTTGGGCACCATGGGCAAAGCATTCTTTTTGTATCCTTTTGCTTTTTGCTTCTTCGGTGCCGCCCCAGATTTTCTTCAAAGCAAAACTAGCGATGGCCTCCAGCCTTCTAGCGATGGCCTCCAGGAGCCCCTAGTAACCTAGTAGCGTTCTTGTTTCTAGTGGCGATGCCCTTTGCTACTAGTAGCTTCTTGTTCCTAGTAGTAAGGCCAGGAGCCCCTAGTAGCGTCCGATCGCTCCCCCCATGCGGCCACACCTCGGTGTTGAGGTCTCAAGTGTGCTCATCTACTCGGCACAGGAGCCAGAGGCAGCACAGGAGGCGAATGCACCCGGCCTGGCAGAGGTGCCACAGCAGCCAGCTGAGCGGCCACGGGAGCGGCCAGAGAAACAGGTCGAGCCGCCAGTTGCACCTGCTGATGAGAGTCCAAAGCCAGCGCAGCCAAAGCAGCCGGTGGGACCTTCAGGTGGGGCATAAAAAAAACCATCAGATCGAGAGCTGGATTCAAGCGGTCCAAGGGACCACTAGAGTAGAGGCAGCAATCATTTCCCAGATGTTTCGCGGCATGGATCAGATCTATTATATGTTAAGTATCCTTCATCTTGCCAATGCCAATGCACGTGTTATTGGTTCCTCCCATCTCTGAGGAGCATAAAACGGACCAGTCAAAAGAGGAAAACTCTTCGTTTTATTTCATTGTCTCAATTTCGGTAAACCGACAAGCACTTCTGAGGCCAGGATAAGGAGCGAAAAAGCATGGAAGTTCCGACTCCGAGCCAAGCTACTGTCCACCAGCCCACGGTCGGCAACTGCAGCAATGCCGTGCCGACAGTGCCATGGCGCCCGGAGATTGTACAGAGTTTCCATCACAGGCAAAGGTTTTGAAAAATTTGTCCCAGATCCCATACTGGTATTTTTGGTTTCCCTTTTGCCTACAGATTAGTTGTAATTAGTTCTTTGCATCACTGCTCGCGTCTTCGGCCCAAACCCTTTCTTGCAAACATGCCTACCAATTCTTCAGTTTAGCAGGCACCTCAGTTTAAGGGTTGCTCCTCGTCGCGCGCCCCAACCTTTCCCAGCTCAGCCAAGGTGGAGAGGATTGATGCATGCCGAAAGGCCAAGGTCATTGTTGCTGGGACCGTCGTGCAAGAGGAGCGGGCCATGAGTTGCGGTGCGGTAAAGCCACACATTTTAGCAACTTTTGTTCAGAAGGAGAGGCCCTGAGGGTGAACTCTTCAGCATTTTTGGGATAAATAATTATCCTCAGTGCTTGGAAGTGCACTGCCACAGGCTTCAGGAATGAGTTTTACGCATGTTCTAACACATTCTCCTCACAATACAACGAAGGAGCAACAAATGACCATGCTCCTATTGGTTGTTGGCTTCCCCACACGTCAATCTACTCAGGTCCGTCACAGCGTTGCCGCCCATGTTACTGTTATACAAATTCGGACGTGCGTTTGTTTGATCACGTTTAATCAACTGGAACTACTTTTGTATTGAGTGGCCAGACCGAATTCTCTGGACTCTGAGCCGGCTTTTGGAGACAGGAGCTGGTGACGGAGGCTGCACTCCGAACTGAGCTGGCAAGTCAAACTGAGAGCAAGCATGATGGCGGAATGATGCCAGCTACTTGGCTTTTAACCAGAGACCCCAGGTGCCTCTAAGCCCTAGGGCTCTCTCATTCTTGCTTTCTAGACATCCATGCAAGGAAGAACTTGCAGAGTTGCACACGTGTGCACTGGGGTTGTTATTTTCAAGACGAAGGTCACCCCCACCAAATTCCAATACACATAACGGCATTCCAGGATGTTGAAAAAGCTGCACTTTCTCGTGTCATCATGGCAGACTGTTCGCTGCAAAACCAAATCACAGGCACAGCAGCTAGTTCAGCCTGACATTGGAATGAGTGGCATATACCGATGCCCGCGTCATTTTCCAGCAGCCCGACTGTTGCATTCATTGTAGACTTAAAGGAGTTGGTTACCTTATTTCTCAGGAACCTGGGGGTCCTTTTTAGCAATCTTTAACCGCTTACTGAGTTTAAGTTTAGAAGTTGGGGTCTCCATACCTCATGGCTTTGGGGAGGTGCCTGTGGGAGCCGCCAGCTATTCAGCCGCCCATAAAGCAGAATCAGTGCTCTTGGTGAACAGATCAGGGGCAGAAGTATTTGCTCCTTGGCGTCAGATTGGGTGGTGGGTCGGGACATGTTTTCCATCCCTGCTTGGGCATGGTGACCCAAATTTAGTAACATGTTAGGGGAGGGTTTAAGTCTAAGTGAGTATCTCCGAGTGGGGCTGAGGACAACAGTTGGTGAAAGGGGTGGCTCAAGGTTCCCTTGTTGATGGAACCAGCCCCTTCCTGAAGCAGGATTTGACCCCAATTCCACCTCCCCTCCGTGGAGGAAGAGGCTGTGCAGAGCGAGTTGGAGACACGACCCGGGGCAGCGACACCCGCCACCTGGCCCGCATATTTTCTGCTGCCATGATGAGAAAGCGTCTTGGGGTGCTGAAGTTCAAGCTTTCAAGCTTCTTCATATTTTGTGAGTTTAGAGCAAGAACCATTTGATTATTTGATTTGTTCAAGCTGGCCTTAACATAAGAATAAGAATTTCCGCACGGAATGGGCATGACCAATTGTACCCACACCGCCTGATGATTGGCGAATGGCACCTATGAGTTCTTTCTGAGTGTGAGTCTGTTCTTTCTTGTCGTTCAGTTCCTAGAGGACACCTTCAGGGTCCAGTTGCTCCTCCGGCCTGAGAAGTCAGACGGCGCAAGCAACCGCAGAGTCAAGCAGCGACCCTCTGTCAACGCGTAAATAACAGTTGTGGTTCTGGACGGGGGTTCTCCGGGGACTTCAGCATCATCGGGGACATCGGGGACTTCAGCATCGCAACATTGTCATCGATCACAACATTGTCATCGATCGCAGCATTGTCATGACCACAACATTGTCATCCTTTAGTCGTGTGATTAAAATGGGGTGGGG